CCAGGTTGTAAAATAATGTATGACAGTGTGTGGCTGTAAACGATTTGATTACATTGTGTGGTTGTGGAAGATTTTATGATACTGCGCGGGTTTGAAAGGCCCGGTAACATCGTGTGATTGTGAAAGGTTTGATGACATTGCGTAACTGTCCAATGTTTGATAACATTGTATGCTTGCCAACCATCTGAGACATTGCAAAGGGTGGCGCATCCACCCTCCAACAGACAATCCCGTCGCAACGACCTGAGAGAAGTTCGGCGGCTTTTGGCAGTGACTGTAAAGGCCCGTTCACACTCTTGCGAACTCTTAAACCTGGGTTCCTTAAGACTTGTTAAACCAGAAAACACACTGGCGCCATCTATTGGGAAGCAGTGTAAACTCGGCGGTCCGGCATATTTTTTTTTATTTCTCGGGCATTATCCTTTCTTTCTTGGCTCGGAAAACTTTTGACAATGTTATAAACGAGCCTTGCTATGGGTATTACGCATATTTGACCTCGAAAATCTCGCAAAACCTTCGCTTTTGTGAAATGCTGTTCCAGGGTCACCGCATAGATGGCGCCACAATGTCAGTGTGTTCCCTCATTCTAAAAACATTTAAGAAGTTGTAAGAGATCTCGTCTCTCTCAGTCGTACTCGGTCGCAAGAGTGTGAACGGGCCTTAAAGCGTGGGGCATTTCCGCCCTTCAACGGACAGTGCGGGCGTCATGCCCCGAGATAAGGTTGGCGGCTTTGGGCGGCGAATATAAGGTGTGGGGCATTTCCATCTTACAACAGAAAATTCCGGCTCCATTCTCGGAGACAGGTTCGGCTGCTTTGGGCGGCGTTTCTCGGGGCATATCGCCGGCATTGTCTGTTGGAGAGTGGAAATGCCCCACACTTTACACTTGCCGCGCAATGTTATAAACAACCCCGTGTAAAACAGGGGTTGTTATGACATGCACCTATCACGTGAAAAATGTTACATTGGCCAGACTGGCGGATGTATTAATGACAGAACACGTGAGCATGCAGCATCTCCCAAGGAAGCTACTGCGGGCCACCTACCAGGTCATTGCCACGACTCTAAATGCAGCGCAGCCTTCAGCGGTATCACGATCCTCGCGACAAACAAAAAACCCTTATGCACCAGAGATGCTTGAGACAATGGCTGAATAAAAGGTTATAAAGTGCCAACAAACGGGGTCAACGAAGAAAACACGGGCGACAGGACATGTCTTCGTTGTGACCATTTGTTCGCGTTTTTTAATCTTTTATTCAATACTGAACCACCTAGCCCAAACCCAACTTTGAATGAGACAATTGCGATCAAAAATAATGAAGAAACAAATGTCAACGTGCCATCTATCAAGGTCACCCCAAAAGAAAAAGAATATTTGGGGTGTGTCACGTCCCGCTGAGACTGACCTGAAATGAAGAAACGGTATTAGGGGTGTGTCACGTCCTGCTGAAGTGCGGTTTTTTTCAATCTGGGATTGTATGAGGATTGTATGTAGCTTTATTTTATTCATTCGATTTAATTTAATTTCATTTCATCCTTGAATTGTATGTGATTGTATGGCGATTTCAGGACGAGAAGGAAAGAAGAAGCTGATAGGTAATGTTCAAGAAGAGGAAAACGCGTTAAACTCATAGTAGGTAGTCTTGCATTATTTCCGTCTCAGTCTCTTTCATGCATCGCTGTTTTCTTTACGTTTTTTGACTCTAAAGTTTAAGCTGGCGCTATCTAAGTAATGCACCAACTACCTCAAATCCAGCCCGTGTTCCATTTTACGTTCTTCAAAAAATGTTTTCTATTTCATTTCAATGTCCATATAGACGGGTGGTTTAACAGTACCTGCAATTGCAGGACCTATGAATTAAAACACCCCCAATAGATGCAAAACGACCTTCGTTAACATCTTTTAGATTAAAGTTAAATCAGGGATGTGTAACTTCTAAGGAATCCTCGTCAAAACAAAATGAGCCTGCGTGACAATTACGGAATCTTTGGAATGACATATCGCGCGTGGTGGAGCATGAGTAATTACAAGAATGATTAGCAGTCTGAGCACATGAACGCAATGACCTAAACGTCTACATGTTTCAAAAGCAGCGTAGAACTGTTGAGGCCAGATTGTCTACATCTCGGGAATGTACACAAAACGGTCACATCTTTATGTGTACTTTAGACCTTTCAAACATCCGATGCGAACTGTAGTACAGATAACACGCAACGTCACAAGCAAAATCTAAAATGGACGCACGAAATAATTGTATTTCAGAGAGATATATGGGAGATTTCTTTTGCCGAGGTTTTCGCCGAGCTTGATAACGATAGGGATATATAGGGAACCAGCCAAGGTTCTGGTTTAGGGGTCTCAAACTCACTTGAGTGCGGAGACCAGATAGCCCACCCCCGGTATGTCTGAGGCCAACATCCAGCCGCGGGAAAGGGGGGGGGGGGGGCGGGGTAATATATTTTAGGACAAAGAAATGAACAAAAAAGAGCGATGGTGTTTCACGTTTCAAAGGAGTTAAGTCTTTCAGCGATACCCAGCGATTTCATGAAGAAGGAATCTCGAGCTATTTACTTTTTTTCGTTTGTAAATGAGTAGTTTTTGCCATGCCGTCTTTAGCATGGATTTGATATACAAATACTTTGGGTTTGCACCACGTGTGATCGCAAGATTTAAAGTACCACCATCCTGCCAAGGCGCAGGAATTTTTCTATAGAATTGGAAACCAAGCACAAATTTGTTACTCTGTCGCTCACTTAACTAGGAAATTACCCGCGTTAAATTGGACTAAAAAAATATTTTTATTTCGCTTTGTTTATTTCGTTTGCTTTCCTGACGATTCACTTTTCTGACGACTTTAGGCAATAGGGACACCCTATTGTTTGAATACCGGTGGCTTCAGGGCATTTCCATAGGAATGGAGCCTTTTTTATTTTTTTACTTTTTTCTGAGCTAAGTTCGCTCTTTGCAAATTTCTAGAAAAAATGCACCACCTGTGGGCAACGGTGCACAAAATTGTTGTGCTATAGGTTAACAAAGCGAATTTTGCGGTCCATTTAAAGAGCTGGCCGCTATTTGAGACCCCCGAGAGTTTGAAATTAATCTGACGCCACCTAGCGGAGGTCGGGTGGAATCTTTATCCTGTGTAGTGCTTCCTATTTACAAACATAGTTACTAAATGTATGTGCGCGCGCTTTTGATCTCTTCTGTGTACAATTATTGCAGTGTGTCGAACCGAAAAAAATACGGGTTCGGTTACGATTCAGGTTCAGGTAAATATATTTTGTTCCGGTTCAGTTCCGGTTCGATTAATTCGATCCGCGAACCGGTTCGCGAACCGGTTCGGGGCGCTGAACCGGTTCGCGAACCGGTTCGGAAATTATAAATGACAAATTGCAACATCAAAATAAATTACAAATAAAACATCTGAAATCATCACATACGAAACGGGATACATCGTAGTGTAAGGCTCAGGGATTTCTACCGGGAATGGTTTCTTTATGTGCACTCAAAGGTTACCTCACCGACGTTTACGCATTCGGACTTCATCTAATTGGGTCCGACGCAGTAGCTGTAAAATCCGCGACCTCCTTACAAACCCACTTACAAGTAGAACTCGCTAACTATCCCGCCACCTCGGCGTGTAACCAATTGAAGGAACAGTGGGGAGAAAATACAGCTTTCTTTATTTGAACTAGCCTTCGGTAACTCAAATTAGACCCTTAAAGAAGTTTTCATTAAACAAGATACGGAATATGAAAAACACTTCACCGAACCCAACGCCAGAAGGACGTAATAGGATAAATATTAAAATAGAAGAGTTCGCTGTCTCACAAATATGTTAGCTTCTAAGTGCCTATACGAAACCGGATGCAATATTATCAAACTCCACAGCCTTTTCTTTTCTCATTCCGATAGAAGCAAGCTTCAAGAACTCGCGCGTTCTAGAAGCGTGTTATGAAATGAACACACAGCAGCATTTAGGATTTACGAGATTGTAGAAAAATAAAATCCCGTGACGTGATTTTTTTTTTTTTGCACAGCCTTTTAATTTTCTTTCTTCCGTGCAAGCCGCGACCAGCGCAATACTGGTTCCTATGTCAAGATTCATGGATGCAGCGTTTGTCAAGATTCATGGATGCAGCGTTTATATTCCTAAGACTGAGTGGAGAAGAAAAATATGTAAGCGAGGTGTGTGTCAGTTGACGGCACTTAAAAAACAAATGGCATTGATAGCACATTCATTGTCAACAGCGCGTGGCCGAACCGTTTTGACATGAGCCGGTAACCGTTATCTTTTCCGGTTCAGTTCCGGTTCGGGTTCATCGCGATAACAATATAACGATTCGGGTTCGGGTTCAGTTCCGGAAAAAATACCGGTTCGGTTCCGGTTTTCGGTTCGGTTCGGTTCCGGTTCGACACCCTGAATTATTGGTTCTTGTGAAATTCGGGCAACAGTTTTCAAAAAGTCGAAGTTAGTTGATTGAAAAAAGTTCAAAGGTTTGCCGGATTAGAAGAACCTTCAATTCGACGAAAGTCCGTTGCATCCATTGTGTTGTTCTGGAACCGACGGGATATTTTCTTAAGGAAAGAAATAAAGCAGATGTGCTTCGACAGCCCAATAGAAGCATATCTATTGGTTACCCTTAGTTTAATACCAAACTACATGGGTGGTTTTCTGGTGGTTATGAACTTTTGCTGATTTTTGCTGGCGTTTAGGTCGCTTTTTTTGGTGGCCACTCTCGCTCATTATTTTTTTTTATGACTTTAGATGTTAAGAAAGTTTTATTATTGTTAGAACTGTTAGAAAGACAGCCGTCAAGAAAAGTTCACAGACATTTTGAAGAACAAAGAAAACCAAAAGGCGGCAGTTTTTTTTTGTGACGTACGTCTTTACCGTACTACGAAGGCAACGGCTGAAAAAATAAGTACCGAAATATTCGACATTTGGGATAAGGTATATAACTCGCTACAACGAGTTGGTAAGGAGTTTGAGAGCGACATGTTGGCGTTCTTCGTGTTGGCGGTCATCTTCTCAGCGTCGCCGAAGTCGGTTCTCTCGGGTAAATATTTTACTATATAACAGTATACCATTTTATAGGCTTTTCTTAGTTGAAACCGAATGGTCATTGGAAACGCATGAACCGAGTCTGAAATGCTTAGGGCAATGACAAAATAGAGTATGGGGCCATAGCGACTATACCCGTTCTACACCAAGTCCGGCTGCAGACTAAGAAATGAGCCCGATTAAGCAGCGCAAAAAGTGCTTCGTCACGGCGCTCGTTGTGTTTGTGCCTTTTCTCTCCCCAGGTAAGCCGATGGCGCACAGCGAATGTGGCGTGATCCTCATTTTTTTTTTGCGTGGTTGGTTTAGTCTTTGGTAGGAAACGCAGAAGCGATGAGCGCCACGACGTGGCACTGCTCTGATGGCTCCACTAGACCGTGGTGTCAACTGCGGTCGGACTCAGTGTGATGGACGGAGAATAGAGTCGCTTGACTAGGCCCCGTCCCCTATAGTTTAGCAGCAGACTGCACAAACGTAAAATCAAACTATTTGCTGCATATACTTTACATAGTAGTTCACAGGTAATAGTGAACAATATACATCTCACTATAGCGCAATAACAGCTTTGACACTTAAGAGTAGGTAATCTTTGGGAAGGTGGATACGCCGTTGGATAACGTTGGTAAGACACAAAAGGACGATCAATAGTTCGTTTCTAATATGATGAATCCAGCGGAACCTTCGGTCCGTTTCCATCGACTCTTTTCTCGAGACAAGTTTTGAATTGGGTCGGTTAGAAAAAAAATAGACAAAAATATACTTACCCTTTCTACTGCTGCGTTAGCCCGCAAATTTAAATTTTATTTAAAACAAACAAAAGTAAATGTACCAACTAAGATGTTTAAATATTTTCTTTTGTTAATCAAAATAAGGAAAATATACTACGTGATCTCCGCCCTCTTCGGTCTCTCCAAAAGTACAGCTATTCAGACCAATTCCACTTAGAGGCCTGTTTCTTTATCTCCCTGACGTCAGGGGGACAAAGGGGACAGTATTAAGGGCCCTTCACGGGCCCTCGAGAGGTAATAAATAAAGAAATGAATGAATGAATGAATGAATGAATGAATGAATGAATGAATGAATGAACACTAGTGGATTCATGCAGCACCACTTACCTTTCGTATCGAACTTTTTTGTGTTGGCCGTCTGGGGTGGTAAGGAGTCTACGGCGGTATTGCGCCGACAGTCGGTCAGGAGCAGGAAGGGTTAGGCCATTTTAGCCCGCCCTTGAGTACCCCTTTCGTAAATCGGTCTTCCTCCAGGATCCCAGCAGTGTACACTACGTTTTGAGTTTCTGTGACCAAGCTGTGTCTTTATGACTATAACTTTGTCTATGCCTGCTTTTTCTTTCTGTTCGTTTTTTTTGTTTTCCACCCTTGCTTTGTTTTGCCCTCGTTTCTTTGTCCCCTTAATGTTTTTGTTATTTTCTGATGTGTGCAGATGTGGGTTCAAAGAGATATTCTGTAGGCGACAGAGGTCCCGCCACTGATCGACCAGCAGAGTAGAACAGTGGTGCGTTTTGAAGAGATCTAAAGATAGAAATGAAAAGACGAAAAACGTGCAGAAAAGTTGACATTCCATCTTGTTCCGCACTACTTCAGATACTCCGTCCGTCACACCCCTAAAATATTTCGGAGCCTTCGTATGAAAAAGAGAATTGATTCGCTTAAAAAAAGAAAAATAGCACGCTAAATATGCTCGTTAAAAACCCGGAAGTGTTTTAATAGGTACAAGTCGCGGTGAGTGCACAGGTAGCCTCTTCACTCACCGCTATTTGTACGTATGTCCATTTTAGTGTGATCTTGGGGGCCTTTCTACCAAGTCGGTCTTTCCTTGAGTTTACAGTCACTTGACCCACATTGCATTTGTTTCGATAACTGATGCCAGTAATGGAACGGTTTATACGTTTCACTCCCAATATATGAGCTGGCGCCGGGACTGCGCTGGTTACACGTACATTTCCCCCATTCTCAGCACACCAACTCATCTCTCACACATCGAGCCGCTGTGGGGTCGCTCCTGTCGAACATGCTTGTTCGCGAAGTCTGTGTTTGTGTATAGATCGAGTGCCTTTTAAATCTAGTGGCAATGCTTCCGACTGTGTGCTGGCTCTGCTTGTGTTACGCCAGCGCATAGAACGAATCAAGAAGAAAATTCCGAGTGGCCGTGAGTCGTCCATAACTCTAAACATACGTCGCTGGGAATATGATGAATACGTCCGGGTTCTCAGTTCGCGTAGTAAATGTCTAAGAAAACAAAAAAAAAAAAAAAAAAAAAGAAACCAACGAAACAACAACTGGTGGGCTCGAACAAGATTCACAATGGCTGACGTTTTAACAATGTGAGACCGCTCTGTAAAGTTCGGGCACAAATGACGTAGTCCTTCGCTGACGGGATGGCCAAGGAAGGAAGCAATATCGGCCTATACACCAACGGAGACAAGGGTAAGGCTCATCTCAACATGTTGGCCTTACACTCTAAGAAATGCGTGTGCGTCTACTTACCCGCAAAACACTCGAAGAGCCAATCACTGTGATCTACGGAATCAACTCGTCAAATGATGAGGCGGAATGTCTGTTTAGACATCAAAATTAAATCTGCGCTGTTGCATTACGCGATGCAAGTATGACGCTTTGGGCAATGCCACAGCGCAGGCTTCATTTTCAGATCTAAGTGGATGTTCCGCTTTATCATTCGACCCGCTGATTTCGTAGCTCGCAGAGATTGGCTCTTCGAGTATTTTCCGTATAAGTAAACGCTGCGTAACGTAAAGTAATAGTAATAATAACTTTCATTTTCCCATGCAGAGGGAAAGTTCATTAAAGCGAGCGCATCAAAACCAACAAGAGTCTGTGCGATGCCACCTTCCAATGAAGAAAATGGATACGTAGCTACAGCAAACATATACTGAGCAGAAAAAAAAGAAGGCTGGAAATGCAAACACAATTCCGTGTACCGTAGAACTTCTACGTATAACGTGAGGGTTTTCTACAAAAATGTACATAGACATCATATCAAGCAAAAATAATTTAAAGCAAAAATGATCTACCCGTTAAATATATGTTACTCTTCAATTCAAGGAATATCATAAAACATGAAACGTATGACAATAATAATAATAATATTAACAATTACACTACCACTGCTACTACTAATAATAATCAATCATACTGTCAAATAATCAATCAATCAACGAATCAGTGCTCATTATAGCGCGTAGAAAATGCCTATCGGTCTTTATGCTGACGCACTTAAAACACACACACGAAAAAAAACTCAAGTTCAAAGTAGGAACGCCTTCAAAATGTCCGACAGTAACACAAACATAATAGCATAATTAGGGGGCAGTTCAAGCTTAAAGACAGACATATAAACCCCAGAAAACAAAATGGCGTTCCATACAACTGAAGGGTAGTCCAGCTGTGACCTTAGTAATGAATGGATCAAAGAAAAAAAGAAAAAAGAATCCGAACGCGTTCTTAAATTTCTTCGCTATGCGAAATGGGCACCCAAAGTCCGCAGAGACGAGGAAACCCCCCTGTTCACATGACTGTCATATCTCAGAGTCGAATCAATCCTAACCCCAGGGTTCCTGACTTCACTTACTCATGACGGCTCACCATTGAAGCAGAGGCGGGTCCAGAACTCTCTTTTTTTTTGGGGGGGGGGGGGGGGGTGGACACTTTGCGAGAATACTATTCTCCCATTCTTTCTTATGCACCGGGGGGTCCACCAATGTCAAGTCGCCCTCCGAGACGGGGGAGGGGTCGTTATTGTTTGGGGGAGGGGGGGGGGGGGGGCTGCCGCCCACGTCGCCCCCCTTGGATCCGCCCCTGCATCAAAGCTATACGCGAAAATGGTATTTGGAGTCGTACGAAAATATCTCATTATTATGAGTTTCAAAGGGTTCAAGTGGAGGTCTTTGGCGGAGCAACATTTGTAAAACAAACATGCGTCTTCGTGAAGCGTAGTGCAATCTTTGAGTGTCCTAATTTCTTTATAAATGTTTATCTCGTCGGCGTAGGGCGAGAAAATAAGGAATTGGAAGTAACAATGGTGACGTCGTTTAAAAAAAAAATTAAGGCTTCAATCCAGGCTGTGAAAGTGGTTGGACAGCGAACTTGCGGAATCGCCTGCTACGATTGCCCACCGCGCTATAAACTTTTTTTTTTTTTTTTTTTTGCAAACGTTATTAGCTGGCTTTCCAGTCTTTGACGTTGTTTTGGAAGACCACAGAGCAGACGAAAAGACGACTGGAGGATTGGTGGCATCAGACACAATACAGCAGATGCTGAACTCACACGCAAGCTTGAGCACAATTAATCGACCCCACCTGTTATAAAGTATCATAAGCATAATCATCATCCCAAAGAACTTCCGTTTGAACAAAGGCCCCTTTAACACCGCTGCTTGAAATGTAAAAGAAACGTTTCACTACCAATTCTCCAGGTGAACGCCAAAAGAACGAAGGAGCGCGAGATCTGTTAAAATGTTTTGAATATTCTTGTAAACCAACCTGTCTCCTCCAAGATATGACAGTGTACAACCGAAGGACCCAGTTAAATCACCAACTTTGTTGCCCCTGTAGCATGTATGCTTTCTTGCACTGGTGACATAAGCAACCTCAGCAGCCTTTCAAAGACGGTGCGACCGGAAGTCGCCTTGGATGCAAGCGGCAGTTCATATTTGTAAACAGCAAAAGCATCTATACCAAATGATTGACGAAAGAAAAGTAAAACTACTGTACCAATACCTTTTTGTTACATATGAAAGACTTCGTACGCTGCCGTTTCCGCGGCAGCTTATGCAATTGCACTCTTTACCGAGAACCTCATCCGGGGAGCGCCACGTGCGTATTATCTATCACGTGGTTTAGACACTTGTTTTGTGGTTTTCTTATTGAAAGAAATGTAAAAACCACACGTAAGGCGCGCGCGAACGGTGATAAGGCGCGCGCGATGGTTGTCTTTTGACTATTTTATCTGTCGACGGACACGAAAAAACCCGTCCAGCGAGTCATATACACTTTCTCTGTAAAAAAGAAAAAAGAGAGAACCCATGACTAATCCCACAGGGAGACCAGAGCCTTCCTTATACTACGTGGATGCTATAGAAAGCTGACACGAACGAACGCCTGCTATTTGACGAATAACATATAATCAACTGTAACACCGACCCACTTACTCCGTAAGATGATAGATTTGATAGGAGGCTGGTGTGATTAACCACATTGCAGGCCTTTCTCAGGTCAGCTAAAAAATCCTTTAACTGACCTGTCACAGACGACTTGATATGCAGTAGACATAAAACTTGCAGGATTTGCATGCATCGTTCTTCCAGATTTGGTCATGTTGATTTGGAATGATAAAGTTGAGAAACTTGAACGACAGAAATTGATGCGGGACTTTTTCAGGGTTTCGAAAATGTAAGATAAGTAAAAGTGTTCGGTAGTGAAAACATCGCCCCTATTTCCTGACTTTGGGACAGGAAGCAGCCGAGGCGACCTTAAAATTTCTGGGAATATTCTAGGTTTCAAATAGTTCATAGCTATGGTACACAATATGGGTGTGAGTACTTGGTGATAAATTTAAGAAAGAAAAGAGGGTGTTCCACCATGTCCCGCAGACAGTGTAGCCTTCATTTTCTAACCCATTGCTAATCCATTCTGACCCAGATGTTATACGTAAGTTACGCAAAATTGGTTGCACGTTTTCTACAGACTATTATTATTCTTTGAAGGAATTTAATGTACGAGAGGCGATATGCATTGATGGTACATCTACTTTGAGCCCTGAAAGCAGTGTACACTGCGACTGGAAAGCTATGGCGAATAAACTTGGTTTCCTTCAACATGTGTCACAACCGACTCGTGGCTGTAACCTTCTTAATTTATTATTTTCTAACACTCCTGATATTGTCTTAAGGATGTGTTATACCTGGTATTCGTGACCACCACGCGATCGTTTTAAGCTTCCTTCTAGCTTTACTTATCGTTCTAAAATTATTGACTATCTAAAAGTTTTCTCTTTCGCGAAGTGAAATTATGCGAAACACTCCATTGGGCTGCAGAACTGTTTTTTTCTTCTTTTGAGTGTTTAAGCGATGACTTAAGTGTTATAGTATTATCGTTTTTATTTAGGTAAAAAAGTATTGGTCTAACTGACTCTTATGTACCAGGTATATTAAGCAGCAAGCTGAGAAAGAGGGAGAGGCCACTGATCACTGGCGATCTGATTCGTGTGATTCGTAGGTGATGGTAAGCGTACGCGCAGTAGTGCAGAAATCAATGGCCGTATAATTTCTTAAAACTAATGAATCTAGTTAACGCAGAGGTTAGGGCGAGTTGTTTGCTCATGATGTACAGGAGGAACAGTGCACCCGGGAAAGAGTCACTCGAGTTAACATACACACAAAAGAAAGAGACAACGCAGCGCTGACTGATAACTCTCGGCAGCGTTACTAAAACACTCATTTGGGAAACACGCCGTTGAAACCTGGGCCGCTGGCGTCCACCGAGACCGAGCTAAATACGACAACAGCGCTAAACTTTATGATTTGTCTGTACTGTGGTCAACTTGAGTTTTTAGAAAGCATGTTTTTGCGTAAAAACAAACGGAAAAGACTCTTTTTGTATGAAATTTATTGGAGTTTACTACAAAATGAAGGGCGGGTGATGTTTTTAAAGTCTTTAGTTTTCAAGGTTTTGCCGGCACAATTAATATTGTTTTTATACAACCATGCCTCAGTGGTGCTTTCAGGTAGCGCGTCCCGACCTAGGTGCATTTTAACTTAGGTAGCAAGACGCGGCGCGTCCGCTGGGGAGACATGGGTGGCACCCCTGTAACCTCCTCCGCTGTATCTGTTTTTTACGCCAAAGTGGCCGATTAAAGCCAAAATAGACGTAACGTGCAGTTCCTCGAGCGGCCGGTGCGAGAGAAATGGCCACTTTTTCAGAGCAATCTTTATGGCAGTTTCCCAAGTGAGTGGTTTAGTAACGATGACTGTGTCCGCCTGAGCTCATTCCGTTCTTCCCCAACTTGAGCACACGCGCCAACCGCGCGGGCTGACCGGCCTCAACAAAAATAAATATTGTTCTCAGTCGTTGTAGAGGGCCGGCGGGCGAACCGTCAAGGGGGAATCGCGCCTCTAACCTCCAGGCGGGGGCGACTGTGACAATGACTCTCGGGTATATTTACACTTTCACATCTTTTTCTATCTGTATTATAGGCTAGGGCCAGAGAGAATGATTGGTCTTTTTTTCCTTTCTTTCGATATGAAGCTAAATTTAAAGCTAACTAAATTGAAATCAATGTAAGGCTGGGTAGTCTAACTCTTTTTGTGACAAGGTTAAAGACATCTGCCGTTATGTTTTGCAATGTTTTCTGCCTCGATAATTTCTCTTGTGAGCTGGTTGTGGTGCTTTTCGAGCGTGGCGCAGTTACTCAGCAGCCCTGAGCAGCCACAGTCTTGACAGTGAATGCCTAAATGTCTAGAATTTTTGTTGGTGATTGTGTTTTTATGTTCACGAAGGCAATCGTTAAGGCACCTTCCTCCCTGGCCCTAGCCTCAAATACAAATAGAAGAAGAGGAGAAAGTGTAAATATACCCGAGAGTTATCAGTCAGCGCTGCGTTTTGGCGAATTCGGGTGGTCAATCGCCGGCGAGCCCTTGCCGAAGGCACTGGCAATCAAAAACGCGCCAGCGGTGCACCACGTGACCCTCTCCACCCGAATTCAAATCGCCGGCAACTGGCGTTTTTATTTGCCTGGGTCGCGCGTGAGTTTCGTTAACTTCTTCCTCGATTATTCTATCGTACAATGAACACGTTGTATGTGCTAACAATATAAATTCTGACTCCTCGAGATGTGCGTAAACCCAAGCGGCTTCACAATAGTTTTCGAATTATTAAGATTACCTCGGTCCGCACAGCTTGGGGATCTTAAATTATAAAGTAAAAGGAAAGACATAGTAATAAATCGGTGTGGGGCTGTCCGCACACGCGTCAAATTTTAGTATATTAGTGTTGGGATTTTCGAGAAACTGTCGCCATTTTGCAAGGGTCCCAAGGACCATTGTAAAATGCAAAACCCGGGGATCCTGGGTTCAATCCCCACCCCTGCCCGTTTCGATCCGGATGAGCATCGCACCGGCGTGCGATCGTGTATCACTACTGCCTGGTGCACGTTAAAGACCCCAGGCTAGCGGTTTGTACTGCACTGGCTAAATTTCTCATCTACAGCCGTTGAGGCAGACCAAGTTCTAGGCTGTAAAAGCAAACACACAACTCAATTTTTTTTCCCAAGGAGGCTTGCCAGCGTCGCTTTTCATATTTTGTTTATTGTTATTATTCTCAGTTTTTTCATTGCGCCCACCCCCCTTGAAAAATTGTGATGCGTATTCGAGTATCGAACTGCATCACTATGCATACATTTTTTTTCAGCGATGTAATAACGTGTTATCACGCAGTTGTAAAACAAAGTAATGTATAATGCAGCCCGTGTCTCAGAGCAAAGGAACCTTGCGCAGGCTGGACAAATTCTTCCAAAAATATTGGCTTGCTCTGAAACATAATTTATCTTTACCTTCGTTGTTTTCGCAATGTTGTTTAGGAGCACAAATGGGTATCTGTCTCGATGGCTTCAATTGCCACTCGAACCCGCTATTTGCCGCTTTCGGCAAGCATTGTTTCGTTTGCTTCCCTTTCCCCAAACGGATGTGACGATACCAGATACCGTCTGGCAGACAAGCTGCACGGCCTCTTGGAGCTCAGGCGAAAATTGTGCCGGTAAATTGCCGGCACATGCCTGAGCAGCACCACCACGCTGCTCCCTTTGTACATAATGAATCTAACGTCGCTAAATAAATTGAAATCGAACCATTATGAACGACAAAATTAATTTAATATCATAGTGATATCTACAAAAAACTTGATAGCATAGGTAAGATTGACTGTATAATTTCAGATTAAAAAAAAAAAGCGTTCGACACTGCAGACTACTGCAAAAACTGTGAGATTAAAATGTTGATACTGCTGTGGTTTACTGGATTAGGGATTCCTTAACTTTAAAAAAAAACAAAAAACAAAAAAACAGCACGTTTTAGTAAATTGCGCATGCTGGAGCCTGGCTTCTGTTACGTCTGGAGTGCCACAGGGGTCCTCCTAGGGTCGCTTTTTTACTTCTTATTTTTAATAATGATATTTGTTCTGAAGTTCAATCTTGAATGCGTCTGTTGGCGGACGATTGTGTATCGCATAGGATAGAGTATCTCGTGAACCGGATTCCACACAGCTTGCGAGTGACCTTAGTTGCGTAGATATATTGCCGCATGAATAATAAAATGTCTCTATACGTTAGCAAGTGCGTTCACGTAGGCTTTACCAAATATTGAAGAAATGATCTTTTCAGTATTTCTACGGGGAGCCAATAAGAACAGAATCAACACAAAAATACTTTTGTGTGATATTTTCTGAATACGGTTTATGATCAGCGCAAGTGAACAATGTAATTGAGAAGGCGGGCTGGCCACTTAGTTTTTTAGAGCGTTACCTCAAGCATGTTAGTAGCGAAGTTGAAGAAGCCGCGTATCGAGCATACGTTAGGCTGATTTCGGAAGATACTTGCCCTGTGCTGGATCACGTTTACCGTGTCAATGTACTTACCGCATTCAGTCTGTCGCTGCTCGGTTTGTCCTAGGGAGACAAGATAGCCTTGTGAGCACAACAAGAATAAAACAAGAGTTGGGCTAGGTTTCTTTAAAGGCGCGCCGTAGAGGTTTCCAACTAGAGCTTTTTATTTTATTTATCTTAAATATAGAGAAAGTCCTGCCTTATCATACGTACAACTGCCAACTTATACCTCACAAAAAAAAAGAAAAAAGAAAACGCGAACTGATTATTCTTTTAATGTTTCACCGTATGTCGACAGGACAAATGCTTTTAAACGCTCATGTGAAATAACGAAATTCGGATATTGAGATGATCATTTGGTGAGACAATCATTCCAAACAGAACAATAAAAAAATCAATATTTTTGTTTGCAAAGTACTGTCACGGGTTATAAGTTTATAATAGTTTCAAAGAGCGTACCAGTTAAGAAACGGGGTTCTAACTTCAAAAACCCTAAGAAGGAACTACAGCAAAACAAGAAAAACGTTTTTTTTAAAGGTAACACGTGATGCATTAACAGCATATATCTTGATAACTATTTGAGCATTTTATGTTCTAGAAGAAACGAAGATATCTCTGTAAAGACAATTAGTATTAAAATTTATATTTATTGTAATTGTGGCGTTTATAATAACAAAATTAAGATATATGAATGTATACTATGAGGAAGGTATTTAGAATGTACACTATAATAAAAACATGCAGGTGTTCTAAGCCTCGGCCTCTGACAACTCGCAAAACTTCCGAATTCGTCTCCAATCCTTCGAAACAACATAACCCCCCAAAAAAGCGGATATTTTTTTTAGCATTCACGAAATTTACGAGTACATATAATTTCTATTATTTTTATACGCCGTCGTTTTTTCCGATTTCAGCCTTTCTGGTTCAAAGAAACGCTTACAGACCTGCATGTCTGTTAAATCGGCACGTTTCGTTAACGTTGGAAAACCAGTGAAACAGTACGGTTCAATCCCATACGGGCTGCAGCTATACATTTTGATTGTGAATAGCGCCGTTTTGCATTCAGAAATGGCGGTTCGCGAGCCATGATCATGAGCAGTGCCGCTGTGCCTGCTCAGCAGGCGAATCGGGGAATCCTCGCTAGAACGCTTCCCGTTCCGGCCACGAGAAGGTGAGCGACGACCTGGAGACTCAAGTAAAAGAGAATTGGATTCCGGGTCCCGAACTTATATTGCGGCTTGGATTGGGCCGCGACAATGAAACTGTTGAGAACGAAAGCGGCGGAAACGTGGTTATTTGCGAAAGTGAAAGTTTGACGGCAACCTGTGAGCGGTGCGACATAGGGCAAGTGCGAACTCGCCGTTGTGAAAGTTGAGAACAAATTCAAGGGTCTTTCACCTTTGCTGGAACTCGAGTGCACAAATGTTACGTGCCCTTTCGAAGTTATTTCGACTGCGTAAACACCGCCTCGTGCTGCCGCCACCGGCCGTGAAATGTGCGACCCGGAACAATGGAGTGGAAGCGCCCACGACAACTTTGATGTCAACGTAAAGGCAGTGCTCGCTGCGCTCTTGATTGACGTCGTTTATGACCGTGAGGGCGCAACCTATGCGGCTCGAGACTTCTGGTCTGGAGGCCAAATAAACATTTGGGACTATATCATCTCCAAGTTTCATGTGGTTTGTGTAAGGACTTAGGTGTCTCGCATAAAGATAAACTTTGAAATACGTGTTTCTCAAATTGCTATGTTCGCCTGATTCCAGAGTTTGTGCACACACTTTATGCCTCTTGCAGTTGGCAAATAACATTTACACTTTACACAGTGGTTTCTGAGGATGTGCGACGTGTGAAAAACTTGCTATTTACGAGACAAATACTACCACTCTTTTAAAAATATACAAAATAATAAGTGAAATTTTGAAGATACGGACAGAAGCTTTTCATTTGTTTTTAAATATTTTTAGGTACTGCTGATTCAAATAGATATTTGCCCTGTGTAGTTTTTTTTGGGAAGAATATTATCTATTTAGGCTGCTCTATCTTTATAAATTGTAAAGCAATTCGTGCGCACAAGACGGGTGTATTTTGTGCATGTCATGCAGCACAGCTATCGAACGAGAGCAGCTATAAAAAACAGATTGCATAAATAAAAAGAAAAGCCAGATTTCTACTACTATGCAAATGTCCGAGCTCTAACCCCAATATTTAAAAGAAGTATGCCCGTGGAGCTTCTTCTCTATTGCAGTAGTTGGAGTGAAGCAGATTTTCAAAATAAGGTTATATTCTTTGCCTGGATGTTTGAGGAATGCCAAACTAATTCAATGTGGTGGAATTTCTTCACTGTTGAGTGGCAATGGGGATAGCGTTGCACAGTTGCTAGCGTTGGATTCTTGACATACAGCACATAGCTTGTAGGTTCTACGTGGCCCTGGAGCTGGTCATTCTAATCAACATTCCTTCAAAGACTTTTGAATTTTCAGGGATACCATATTTTGTAGGATTCAGTGGCCAGGGTGAATGTTACGCGTCTTTGTATTGTGGGCTTCCCCTTTTATGGGGGTACCGCTTAGAAACACAGAAGGTCCCTTGGGTCCGGATAAAGACGTGTTTATTTGACTTAGATGACACACGCTTGCCCGAAGGCCAACAATGTTGGAGATGACGGCGCTGTCTCTTTTGACAGGATCGCCAGTCGGAGTCCGCGCTGCCGCTATTGACAGTATCACGGAGGGGGAGGATCAGATATGGATATGAAGGCTCTGTCGAGCAGAGCCTCCCCCAGCGAGAGTCCCGCCCGTTGGATTAGGGCCGTCTTATATAGCCTGCGGGAATGGACGCGCCCGGGGTGGGTCGGATGTAGGTGGCTCCCCGGAGGGGCGGACGCGTCCAAGTCATGATCCCGAGGGGTGTGCCTTAGGCAAATCACCCGAGAAGGACGAGGGAAAGCCGCCCACCAGGGAATACGGCTTCGCCCTCGCATCCGGGACGCGCCCCCACGTGGCGACGTCCCACGGCCTGCCTGAGCTAGGCCTAGATAGGGATGCGGGGAACACCGTGGTTCCCACAGTATTCCTTCAATGCTTTCAATTAATCTTCTTCGTTATCTAATCTATCTGATTTCGTCACCTGCCGAGCCAGGTAAACATGCCCTTGAGGCTTATTCCGGCTGGCTATAGTATTTTGTGAAAAGGTTTATTCTGCCAATAAAGTTATGTTGTATATTCTTCACCTATAGGACCTTCGGCGGAACGCTTTGTTTATCCACGGCTGCTGCAAGCAAGGGGAGTGAATGGCGAGAAGTTGCTTCACATTCGAGATGGACTGACGCTTCACTTGGAGGAGACCTCTGTCTTGGCTGAGAACTTCATCCTCAGCGCATTTGAAAACGGCGATCAAATTGATACGCCGGTGAGTTTTCTTTAATTGCAACGGTAATGGTTTGGAAACAATTTGTAGCCTACTTTTTTGGAACACATTCTTCTACTCTAAAAGCATTCTCTTCGGACGCAATCTATTCTGAAGATATGAAAACTTTTGTCAGAAAATTGGTTTCCTCTGACAGCTCACCAGTATGCAGACACAAATATATTTTTCAAATTCAAATTCTCTCTTAGTAAGCTTGTCGTACCTTTGAACACATACCTTGCGTTCATCAAGATTTTAATTCAAATTTAAATTGTGTTTTATAGAGAAATAACTGCATACAAGCTATAAGTTCAAGGTCACGACGAATTCAACGCGCTCATCTGGTTGAGCGGGTAACATCTTTTGAAAAGAAAGCTGATGAAGTTCGTGAAGTAGCGCTTTTGGTGCTTCTTGATTTGCCCCGTTCGCTCGTAATATCGGTTGCGCGTTCATATAAGTTGAAATAAAACATAGTGCTGCTCTTTTTAACCGACGTGTTGCATAAAAAAACAGCAACTTTACAGCCGTCCTTGAAGCCGTCTTTTTGCTTTATGATATATAAATATATTTTCCTGTACAAATTTATTAACGTCTTTGTTTTTTGCGCTCACGAATAGCTGATGCCGTTTTGACGATGCAGAAACGGAGATTACAAATTAGTCAGAAGCAATCTTAATCAAAGTACACATCTAAGTTCTGTTTACACAAAATATAGTAAGGGAATTGACAAGCATTTTTTTTTTCGCGGTTGTACCACTTCCTATGTCAAGAAAAAGGAAACAATGTTTTTATTGATCTGAAGCCAATTGTTGGAATGGTCGCTAGTTTGCATTTGAGACGTGGATCCGGGATGCTTCACGCACAAGAAACGTTGTCCAGGTGGCGGCTGGCGATTCCCTTTAAATATTTTCCCCCTCTCCTTTATTATTAAAGAAGTCTGACTCACCTCTGCATCCTGGGTGACTGTACAGCGAGAAAAAGCGAGTTGACATTAATTTTTGGAGGCTCGACACCTATAAAAAGAAAGGCGGGAATGCGGCAAGATAGCACTTTTATAGAACGCGAAAATTACGTGTCATCGGAAACAAGGGCGTTGATTTTGTGATTCGAATCTTTCCAATCAGCTTTAAGATGGACTAAATAAATGTCAGGCGGTTCTTTCATCGCGGAAGAAAAATTCCGAGTTCTCAGAGGCTGAGAGCGCGCTGGAAATTAATGCCAAGATTCGGGATAAGACACGAAAATGTAAGCTTATACAATCAGCGGTATTTTATTTATTTATTTATTTATTAATACTGCCAGTCTCTTGCTGGCAAAGCAGGAGTGAATGATTGAAGTACAATTGGCATATTTCTCACTGAAACCAGATTGTCCGTTAGAAGCGATGTACATAAACAAGAACATTATGAATAAAAATGACTCCTAGCGGAACCCTCGGAGGCTACCTTGCGAACTTTCGTCGACCTTAGATTCGACGTTGGACCTTGAGGTCCGACTGTATCGGCGAAACTTCGACTTTTTGGAGAAGTTCGACGAAATTTGACTTCTTGGACAGTGTTGCTCGACTTCTACAGAAAACCGCTGCAAATTTGGGAAAGAGTTTATTTATGAATTATGTCATTTAATATTTTATGAAATGATTACAAAGGTGTTCACAGAATTTAAATTAAAACAAAAACGAGTTCAAATGCTTTAGTTAGTTAGTTCGGCGGGTCCGAGGCATTCCTAATTGTAATTATCGCAAAAATCAACTTACACTGGAGCAGTTTAAGGCAAGAGACAACGTTTGTCTCAAACCAATGTATTTTACAGATGAATGGAAGGGAGCTCGAAAAGAACGTGTACCGTGACCGAAACCAAGTGGCGGCAGTATCGGTCAAAGAAAAGGATGGAACGATCGAAGTGGTATGCGTTCTGACCTAAACGTTTTTTCCTTCAAATGCTTAAAAAGATAAAACTTCCGGCAGGAATAAACGTATCTACAGTGTGTTGCAGCATAAGATGACGAAGAGAAGTCCATCACATGAAGCTCTGTTCGTTTTATGAGTGATGGTTTCTTTCCTTCCACCCTTTCCAGTGTTCACTCTGATAATGTGGGAAGGAAGGAGGGCTTAAGAGGAGGAGCTTGTTTTGTGATTCTTAACATGCAACAAATTGTAGTCGAGGATATAATTTCAGATGGAATGTTTTGATATCGCAATGTGTGCTTGAATTGTCTCTAACCAGTTAGAAGTTTACCTGACGAGAGCTGCTAACGAATTCGGAGCTCAGCGTCTTGCCAACCCTACAAGTAGACATTTTTAAGCCTTTCAACGCTTTGTCGGCGTCAACAATTTTCTTGTGTTTAGAGACGTAGAAATAATAAATTAACCACCGAATAGATCGACGCGTCAGTTAGCCAGTCACTTGTGAGCCCACGCATTGCACCTTCATTTAGTTCTCGGTAGTTTCTTTTGCAACTGCACTAAAAGGTAAGCTTTTCGAAGAGAATAATGTGAGCACAGAGGCGCACAAATAAATAGATGCATAACTGATTGAGTGTTCACGTGGCATATGGAGCATATGAAGCAACTTAAGCGAATGATTTCTACAATACTAAAAGTAAATAACCCATACGACATACACCCATGCTATATTGCAATAAGTGTAAAAAAATTGAGAAAACAGCAAATTTTGCAAACGACAGGATGGCGGCTTGGTAGATTTATCTTTTAAGAGGAGAACCATGACCCATATTCGAAAATTTATTTTCTTTTGCGGGACTTTATAACGCGCTAATTAAAACTGTCTATACCTACGGCTGAATGCACCTAGGTTATATAGGAAAAAATATTGACCACGGCAGCACGACTGCGCAACCGAGGACTTTGAACGTGCTTCACGCCAGGAAAATACACATATACTTGGGGTTTAAACAGCCAACACATATTGGAGTTAGAAATGATTTCACTGCGTTTGAGCTTAAAGAGTTCACGCGCTGTCGAGCTGACCTGTGTCAAGTCCCTCGATTGCCGACCCCAAAACTTCTGTCCTGCTGATGAGATTGAGATTAGCGCTGCGTTATATTTTATTGTGTTTTTAGTCTACGATCAAGCTGAGACTATGTTTTTAAAGCAGATATTAGAAGGGTTAAGCCCAGTGTTGCCGAACTATTGTTACCGTTACCACCATGCGAGAGCCATGGGTCATTTACGTAACACGAACAAAACGTTAACGTCACCCTTCATCTCATGCAGGGATGATTAACAATTATTAAACAAAAACTTGCATATGAACAAACGGCGGGTAAAAACGCTTTGTGTGCGGAAATCGCCCAATTTGGTTTTGATATTTCGATAACGCTATCGTGATAAGGCTTTGCTTTAAGTATAACGTCTAGTTGTTACAATGGTGCTCGGAAGGTCGGCGAGGGCGGAACAACAGTGGCGATGTACGTATACTTGTTTCGGGAAGATCGGTCCTATCCTCGAGTGTAGTGATAACATTAGTGGGCATGAATTCGATTTTTACGTGGCAGCATGTGCTTTAGTTGTCGCCAGTAACTGTAAGTACTGCTGCTGACAGGGCTTCGACACCTGCGTGTGAAGTTTGCAAAGCCTCATGCCGTGTATGTTTTTCGGTTCTTTGACTGCCAGCTCGAAAAGCTGATAACTAGTCTCACTTAGCAACTGCATCCTGGCAGATTAAGGGGCCCCGTTCCAATAGTTCAAGTATCTATGCTATCATGTGCGAGCGTAAGAGTGGGCAGAAATTTGGATGTGACAAATTTAGACAACACAATTGAACGACCGTTAGTTCTGATCTAACTTATAACAATTTTCTCTTCTGTGTAGAGAGGAGCTGTGAGCCCCAAGTTAAGGATTGCTCCTTCGCCACTCATGGCTCGATCTGAAGATGGGCAGATTGCGCATGAATTATTCGAAATCGAGGAACGTGGGGATTTTAGGAGCGATTATATTGGTGAGAAAGTGTTGTTTAATTATTTTGGATTAACAAAAAACATTCCATCAAGAAACTTTTCATTAACGCTTTAGAAAGAGTTACAGGTCAACATTTTAATCCTTGACGTTATATTTGCGAATGCAGTGATGAATTCAGGAAAACATTCACTAGAGCTGTAAACAAATTATACAGCGTGAAGCAAAGCGATCGATGGATGTTTAAAGGGACCGAATAAAGCGGTTTCTGCACGTATCAAGCTAAGATTACGTACAAACGTGGCAGATGAACATGCATTGAGGTTATAAAAAATGCCTCTAAACTAACTTATTTGAGTAAAAGTAAGAAATCAAAACTTAAAATTTCTATCTACTACGTTCGTCTGCTGAAAAACCAAAGGCGGTCACGACGGACGCTTAAGACGATCTCGACAGCAGCAAACGACGTTTCAGAGCCGGAAGCGATTCGCACTTCGGCGCGAATTATCATTGTATGATTATTTTCTTCTACAAATAAGACATAAAAAAACGAGGATAAAACAAGAAAAACGAAACAGATGTCTTGTCTCGTTTTGTCAACACTCATATCTGGCTACATGTCGTTGTCTGTTTTGCACCACTTCGTACCCTCTGGATGTTTCCGTGTTTCTGTTCTTGTCTGCAACTTTTACCCCGGCTTTTTTTTTGGAGTGGAAGACATCTTCATGGTGCGATGAGGTTCCAACGAGCTAGTGAAGGTTGGTCTGTGGTACGGCGAGTGCCAAAGCACGAAAGAGGTCCACCGAAGCTTTCGGGCAGAGTTTCGGCGACGAAGTGCGGTCCACTGGGTGAGGCGCGCTAACGAGGGGGGAAACCTTTCAAACAAGTCACCGACAACAGTGGTGTCATCACCAAAGCTGCCACTGAAAAAGGCGGTACCTGTCGACGCGGAGAGCAGTGCCTCCATCTGCCGGCTGTTGCGTCAATCAGAAGCCTTTTTAGTAACAAACGGACACCGCAGGTACGCATTTCAAGTTTTTATTTTTAAAATTTTTTCTCTAGTAACTTATTTCGGTAAAATATTTATAACTTTAAAGCAAGGCCTTCGGCCACCTCTGTACACAATCTCAGCTCGATACGTTCAGAAACCAATTTATGTCGCCACTTTACACAGCCACCGATCTCTTTGTCTCACCTTGCATATATATACAATTTTTTTTTTTTTGCATTGAAGTAAAGGAAAGAGAGCTGGCGAAGAATTAGGCCAGGAGCGGGGCCCAATTTTCCATCACTCCCCTTAGGGACAGGGTGCATCTATGCGGTGCAGCCTGTTCCTAAGGGGAGGGGTGGTTCCTTAAATATTACGGAAGACGGGCCCTTTCCGACATTTCCAAGCTGAAATGACGTGCTACCTCACTGCCGTAACTCGGAACTAGCATGAGGCTTAAATAAGCAACAGCTGTCGTCTACCCTGTTAAGCGAATTTGAAACGAACAGCACACAGAGAGCTAGTCGAGGATTGATTAAAGACTTGAGTGTGTTGGTGATCTACATTGACTTAAAACGAAAGAAACACAAGAAAGCTGTGTCGTCTGTTTCGGCCTCTTGTGTGTTTCTTTCGTTTTAAGTCAATGAGGATTAATTCCATCGAAACTAGTGGCCGGGATGGTGTAATCAGTTATGGCGCCGCCCCGGATAGACAGGTTCGATCCCCGCTGCTGCCCAAATTTTCACCAGTTCTCTTTTCTTTTCTCTTCCCCTAATTTTAATGGAATAAATTGAATACTCAGTCTCTCAAATCTTCGTTCACTAAATGCAGGGTATTCCACGTAATTTGAGCCAAGGTTTAAAAATATTTTGGTGTATTTTAAGAAGATGAAACCAAACAAATAAGGTTGTCCAATGTTTGGAGCAAGTCAGGCTGTTTTTGTATTTTGTCCAATTAAGTGATTAACTATGATTGATCAATGAATTTTTGAAATATTCAAGCTAGAGCGAAAGTTCCAATATGAAAGTTGTAGAGCGTCCTCAAAAACATCCAATTTAGTGGTTTTAACAAGAAAACTCTAACATGTTTCGTTTTCCCGCCCCCCCCCCCCCCCAAAAAAAAATCCTGCCAAATTTATGAAGAAAAAAAAAAACACACGAAAAAGTTGCGAATTTTTTATCGGCACCCATTCAGCAGTGCTATGTAGAGCACGCAGGCCTAGTTCCTTCAAGCCACGGCTGAGAGCGCTGCAATACAAGGTGCACATCCAGAAAGTCACGTTTTTTATTTTTTTTTTCATAATTCGCAATTTTTTTCAAAGCACATAAAAAGGTGTTAAGGTGTCTAGATAAAAACCACTGAGTTGGATGTTTCTAGGGACCTTTAACAACTTTGTCATCGGAACGTTTGCTCGAAACTGAATATTTCAAAAGTTAATTATTATTTTAATAGCTAATTGGGCAAAATACGAACAGTTGCCTCACTTGCTCCAAACAACGAACAACCTCAATGGTTAGGTTTCGTCTTCCTAAAATGCACCAAAATATTTCTAAATCCTTGGCTCTAATTGTGTGAATGTGTCTGCGTGTGTGTACTAATTTTTTTCCCTAGTTTTTGCGACACGACATTTTAAAATTTTGGCACATCGCACACATCGCGACACTGTTAGAGCGAACACCACATCGGCGCATTTTCTCATTTTACTTCTAAATAGTATTAGCGAGTATGACATCTTATTGCTTACATTATAAAACTGATTGAGCTCTTTTCGTAGCAATAATAACTTGGATGACATCCCTTGGTTTCAAAGGGAAAACCTGGAAACACCGGAGATCGCTTGTTCGCGTTAACAGTGTCGCGCTCTGTACGTTGATAGTAGGAGATAAGGAAATTCAGGTTGGTTTTCGTCGATAGCGGGCAATAAATAAAGAGTAAGCGCCTTTGCAAAAAAAAAAAAAAAGACAGTGTGTTTATTTTCCCGCAAAAGACTCGGAGAGCCAAACACCGCACTCACGAAGGACGCTTGGCAAAGGACAATGCCGAAACATATGCTTAGACCAAAAAACGCGGTCCGAGTTGTGACGTAAAGCAATGCAAGCATGGTGTTTTGCATTGCTAAATGTCACAACTCAGAGTGCGTTTTTTGGTCTAAACATATGTCTTGGCATCGTGATTCGCCGAGCTGCCTCCGTAAGTTGCGGTGATTGGCTCTGCAAGTGTTGGGCGGGAAAGTAGACGCACTGGCTTTTTTTTTAGAGTGTATGTCACCAAGAGAAAGCCACCTTGCATTGTTGTTGTTGAGGTTATCTTTGTCCGAATGCTCATAAACAACCATAGTTTGAGTACCGCTTAGGCTATAACAGGGATGCAACGCGCTCTTGGAGAGCCAGCCGGTTGTCGCTGGTCCAACAAAACGGCTTCAGTCACTGACAGCTTAAGAAACCCGTCGCGTGCCGAGTAACGAGCATCTCATTAGCGCTCCGCGAGCATCTCATTACCGCTCCGGGAGCATCTCATTAGCGCTCCGCGAGCATCTCATTACCGCTCCGGGAGCATCTCATTAGCGCTCCACGAGCATCTCATTACCGCTCCGGGAACATCTCATTAGCGCTCCGCGAGCATCTCATTACCGCTCCGGGAGCATCTCATTAGCGCTCCGCGAGCATCTCATTACCGCTCCGGCAGCATCTCATTAGCGCTCCACGAGCATCTCATTACCGCTCCGGGAGCATCTCATTAGCGCTCCGCGAGCATCTCATTACCGCTCCGGCAGCATCTCATTAGCGCTCCGGCAGCATCTCATTACCGCTCCGGCAGCATCTCATTAGCGCTCCACGAGCATCTCATTACCGCTCCGGGAGCATCTCATTAGCGCTCCGCGAGCATCTCATTACCGCTCCGGCAGCATCTCATTAGCGCTCCACGAGCATCTCATTACCGCTCCGGGAGCATCTCATTAGCGCTCCGCGAGCATCTCATTACCGCTCCGGGAGCATCTCATTAGCGCTCCGCGAGCATCTCATTACCGCTCCGGGAGCATCTCATTAGCGCTCCACGAGCATCTCATTACCGCTCCGGGAGCATCTCATTAGCGCTCCGCGAGCATCTCATTAGCGATCTGCGAGCATCTCATTAGCGCTCCGAAGCCAATCTTTAGCTTTAGCCGAAAAAAAAAAAGCCAACGAACAATATCACGATGCGAAAATCATCACCATAATAGAACGCGCCCTTCATTAATCAAGTTGCTGGTGACTATACAGAAGGCTGCAGTGCAACACAATGCATTCATTCGAAAGACAACTCCCCAAATAGGCGCAAGAAATGCCAGAAAAAGTTATCCGACGAAGATCTACATGTTCTAACGCTTGAAATGTAGTTCCATATATTAGGTTTTTTATGCTTTAGATTCTCTAATGAATAATGTATTTCAGCAGTGATATTTTAAATTTGTTTAAAAGACACCATTAACTACAATGTTATTGTTCTCGATGACAGCAACGGATATCATATTTGAGTACGTGTTCTTTCGTGGTGCTTCAAAATATATTTCACTAACGTTTTATAGAATTGTTTTAGAACATGTTTGGCAACTCGAAAGAAAACAAATAGTAGGTCACAATTTCTGCATATTAAGACGTATTTAATTATCTTGTTGCGTTATTATGCTCTAACACTTCGTTGAACTTTGCAGTTCCACCTAATCTCAAGGTGCAAGAACGTGCTCTGGTTTTTCGGGACCGTAAGTACACAAACTAAAATTCGTGCGATTGTAGACGGTCACCTTGAGACTTCGAGTATAAAAGTGGGTAGAACAATCGCCCCTTTCCCGCGCTATCGTGGCAAAAGGCTTTAGTGACACAGATTGTGATGCAGCACCGAGCTAGATACTCAGCGCCTCCTCACAGTCTTTGACGCTTTCACATACACGAATAAGTAGAAGAAACGTCACTAACAGCTTCCGTATCTCGTTGTTTTCGAACTCTCTCTTGCACGAGAACACCGGCGTCGCGCTTTGAAGAAAGCTGACAAGCATTCTAATTATTTCCGCTCATCTCGAAAAACTGAATACGTCAGACCTGTAGTGCGCTTTCTTTCTGCTTGGTTGTCGCTTATTTTCGCGTGGTTTCTTTCGGGAAGCCCGGGGTTTGCTCTCTTAATGTCTGCTAGGAGTCGCTTAGGTTTGATCGCGTGACGGGACCCGCGGGAGTGTTCACACAGCCCCGTTTTGTTACGTTACGTTGCGTTACGGGAGCTTATACGTCTACTAACGACGAGAGTCAACGACACATCTGTACTTCTTTTGAAGTATAGCAACCAGTTTTAAGAGGAACTTTGCAAGCGTCATTCGAAGTACGGATATCCCGGTAATCCATGACGTAACGTAAAAATAAAAAAAAATAAAAAAAATAAGAAAGTGTAAGAAACGCGCAAGTGTGAACGGGCATTAACTGGGATGTAGTCGATCAAGAGTTGGATGCAAGGCAACGCAACGTCGGCTACCGATAGTATAAGCAAGGGCCCTAACAAAGCCTCAGTGCTGGAGTATCCGTAGCGCACTTACCGGGGCCCATAGCAGGGCACCGACCAAAAAGTTTAGGGCAGCCTTCGACTGAAATTTCAATAATTCCTCATAGTTTCAGCTCCTCATAGTTCCAGCTGATCGCAGACGCAGTGTACTCGTGTGATGGTGTTACGTCACTAGAGTGCGACTCCTGAAACCGTTAAGTGCCAGCCACATAACGCGCTCTATGTTAATACGCAACAAATCTCGAAGAGAGCTTGCAAATAAATCTTTCCATAATATTTTGCAATTCTTAAACAGCATCGCAAGTGCGCTTCGTTTGAAAGCCATCCTGCCTCGCACTCCCAAGAGTTGGACCGTAAGATCGCTTCTGGCTTGAAAATTTTTTCATTTGTTTATTAGAACGCAGCTTTTAGGCGCCCCTTTTTGGCTTTAGCGGCGTCGCCGTCGTTTGATCCGCATGTTGCATTATGAGGCGTTTCACATCATGACGTCACACGCGACGTGACGTGTGACGTCACGACAGTTACCCCCGCGAGAGTTACGATGGTTACCCTCACGAATGTCAAGGGTTACCCTCACGAGGGTCACGAGGGCTACCCTCACAAGGGTCACGAGGGTAACCATCACGAGGGTTACGAGGGTAACGCCATGACGTTACCGTCGCGTCATACCACGTGACGTCATGTGGACGTCATTATAGGAAACACGTGACGTATGACGTCACACGCTTCTAACATTGCCAATATTCCAGCTAAATATAGCGGGAATCGTTTTTCCGCTAAATTTGGTGGAAAAATATTCCCGCTAAATTTACCCTCATGACGTCACGTGCGACTACACGTGTGACGTCAGGAGGGTAAAATTTTCCCGCTAAATTGAGCGGAACAGTTGCCCCGCTATATTTAACCGGGAAGGAAGAGGGGCATACTCGTCAATGGCTGCGCTTTAATTCAGCTTCACAGAAAACTGTAAACGGCTTTAATTTTTTGTCTTTGGTTTTACGGCACTTATCAAATGAATGTTTCGGAGAATCACGTTAACCTAATGGGCTATCGTGGAAAAAAAAAAAAAAAAAAAAAAAAAACGAGGAGAAGGAGAACAACAGTACCGGCTGTGAACACCTTTGCGTGCAGACGAGAATGTGTGACGGAAATTGAGAAAACAGACCTATGACGACACATCTTTTCACCTGGCGGCTTCGACGTTAATTGAGTCATCACGACAGTTTTCTCTGTCATGAGTATCTTCAAGCCGCGCCTCATTGGTACTACGTCATACGAAAGAGACAATGTTCTCAGCAGACATGACGACAGAAAGATCTGCGGACAGGCCTCCAGCTCGTTGGAAGCGTCTTGGTACATTCCTAAACCCAGAGCTAATTATGGCATGCAGCGATCAGTTTACACTTTGACTCGTTTATGAAATGACTATTCCCACCGCCATGTAGACATAACCGAACCTTTAATCAGCTGCCTATTTAAAATGTTCATTTAACTTTTTTCATAGGTGGTGTGCGGATCTTATTGTCTACATATGTACGCTGCGAACATCTCTAAAGACAGTTTTTTATGACCAATGAGACCGTCATGCAAGGGAGAAACACGCCTAAGAGAGTGGCTGCAGACCGTCCATTGTTTGAGGCCGTAGCAGCTTAACCGCGAGCAGGAAGTCAGCTAGCCCTAAAGGGAATCGAATGTCTTCGCTGCAGAAGGAAAAAAAAATGCCAGTCCGGTAACACTGCTAGCCTGGTGTCTTTGACGTGGTAGTGATACACGACCGCACGACGGAATGATACTCGTCGATAGGGAGTTTTAGTAGACCGTGTTTCCCCCTCCGGTAGCCCTCCGCTACGAAGAAACCGCCACTGCGCCTGCGCGCCAATGGCCTTGACTGTAGAGTTCCGGATAGAGGAAGGGCTTAGCGGAGTGGGAAACACGGTCTATTAAAACTTGCTAATAGGGAGTTTTCGTAGATCGTTTTCGCCGTCCCACAAGGCCCTCCGCAACCGCTCCGATAGCGGGAACTCCACAGTCAAGGCTATCGGCGCGCAGGCGCAGTAGCAACTTCTTCGTTGCGGAACGCTTAGCGGAGGGTGCAACGCGGTCTACGAAAACTCCCTAATATCTACACTCCGTTTCACCTTACGTCCGGGCGCAGCGGATGCTACGAGCCACCGCAGCCGACCCAAGGCCGTGTCAGGGTCACGTGACCCTGAAGAGGGGCGCAGCGACGCGCGGAAAGCGTAGCACGGACTGCGTCCACATAGCGGGAATAGAGAGTTTTCGTAGATCGTTTTCACCGCCCCGCAACGCTCTCCGCAACCCGCTGCGATACCCGGAACTGTACAGTCAAGGCCATCAGCGCGCAGGCGCAGTAGCGGCGTCTTCATAGCGGAGGGCTTAGCGGAGGAAGAAAACGCGGTCTATGAAAACTCCCTATTAGGGATTTTTCGTAGATCGTTTTCGCCGTCCCGCAAGGCCCTCCCGCAAAGGCGACGAGGAGGTGACGTCACGGGGTGGAAGCCAATGAGCGCGCGGATGCTGGGGCGAGTCTGAACTTGCAGGTCTGCGGAGCACGTATGTCTTGGTTTGCGCTACAAAATAGAGTGCGAACCAAGTACTTGCGCTGGTTCAACTAGGCGGCAAAAAAATCAAGGGTCTGTTGGTGGATCCTTAGGAATGCGTTAGCGTGACCTTTGGGAAACGTCACACACGTCTTTCTTTGGAAAACGCCAACGATGAACCCCGTAACAACTCCAAAAAGATGGAACACGAATTAGAGCAAGCGAAAAATAAAGCCCAACGAGAAATGCAAAATTTAGTGAAGAAGTCAGCGTTAGCTTTTCCCGGAATGGGACGCGTGTGGCCTTTTCGAAAGGTTACGCTAACGCATTTCCCAAGGATTCCCCAATGGATCTTACTTTAATTGTTATGAAGGATTAGTAGCTTTTCGGTTGTGAAGCCTCGGCATTCCTAAATGATGTACAATACAAAAATTCAAATATTTTTTTTTTCTGTTTTGTTTACACCAGGTCAAAGACAACCGTCTACGCAGACTTGTACGTGACGTGTTACAAATAATGGATTACTTGTAATCGATTACATTTTACTGTAATTTTGTAGGGCTTCAATTACTTCCCTTACGGAGTAACGATCCTTGTAATTGAATTACTTTTTTGTTGTAATCGATTGCACAATTACACATTATCCCAGCAACCATTACAATTACAGTTACTTCACTGTAAAATCGATTACTTCCCACGTTACTTTTCATACAACTTTTTTTTTATTACGGTAGCATATATAAAAATTTAAATAGGTGTTACTCTTTTATATATGTCTTTCTTTTTTCAACCTTTTGTTTAGTTTCAGCAGCAGTTGTATCTCGAAGTTTGCCTCGGTCTTTCGCCAACGAATCTTGGTGTCATGAACAGAGCTCCTAGTTTCAATTGGCACAGTTGATGCAGGGATATTATTCGGGAACTACTATTAGGGGCAAAGACATAATTTTGACAAACCCAATGAAACGTAAAAATAAGAACTCAGAATATAGATGTTCGAAAGTGATACCCCCCATACCAGACAAAAGCTCGTAGGAGCATGCTCATGAATTTGCATATAAACTGTTTCCTGGTTAAAAGCTAAAAACAGTCCAAAGACGCAGACAAGAACCAGATTTTTTTTAACCTGCTGACTGGTTTTGCGCAAAGCCGAGTGACTCCAGCACTTCTAACTCCTCTCGCAAAAAAAAAAAAAAATAAATAAATAAAATAAATATATATATAAATAAAAACAAATGAGAAAAATTGTAATGGGTAGTTTTGGAAATCGATTACAGCAAAAAAGTAATTTAATTACAAGGTTCGTTACTCTTTGAAGGAAGTAATTGAGGTGTTACAAAATTACAGTAAAATGTAATCAATTACAAGTAATCCATTACTTGTAACGCGTTACGTACAGGTCTGCGTTACACCACAGTTGGCTGCAAATTAAACCTGAAGAGGTGCGTAACGTGATTCGTTTTTGATATTTCCAGAATACGCAAAGGTTCCTGAAAATTTTACAGTTGAAGTTTCAGTCTTGATTGACCAGTATATGAATGCGGAGTTCACGGACGAGGAAGACATCATACCGTATCTGACTATGCTAATGACCTTGGTAAGGCTTTTATCTGTATAACTGACATACTTAGTTTCGCAGCTGAATTAAAAAAAAAATATTATAGCAAATCATTAAAACAATAAATAAAATATGAGAAAAAGATGTTTGCTATGTAATTTAGCCAAGATATGTGATGCAACATATTTTATGAAATGGAACGTATACCTGCCTTTCACTGCGTAGACACTCTGGTTGTTTGCGCTACTTAGATTGGTTTTCTCATCAAAGCGCAAAATTCAGATTCAGACAACGTTTATTGAGAACAAGAAAAGGACTGCTTCGATTAAGAAAGCGTCGTGATGCGGTCACTGCTTCGGTGGGGCATCTTTCTTGGATGGAGTATGTATGGGTGTCGAAGTGAGAGTATGAAGGGGGGGGGGGGGGAGGAGGGGTTCAAGGCTGTGGTGACTCTAAAGTGAGTTGCTTAGTCCTCCACTGGTGATGAATTCCAACAGAGAGCCCAGAATTCTTGTGCGGCGTTCTGCGTCACCGATGGGGTGGGTCCATTCCCGTACGCTGCTGGGCACTTCATCTGGAGGGAGTGTGGCCCAGACTATTTGGCGAGTCTCTCGGAGAGCTTCGCATTCCCAGAGCAAGTGCTGAAGTTTCGGGAGCTTGTCGGGGTGTTTACATCTGTGGCAGCGCGGGTCTGTCGGAACAAAGTATGGGTCCGTCTTTCTCTTGCGGTTCAGCTCGAAGATGTACGTCTGGTGGGGTGTGATTGCTCCTCCGGTACGCACTCTTCTGAGTAGAACGGTCTGGTGACGTTTGAATATCTTTTCAGGGATCGGGTACGGTTCCGCCGTCCAGGTGTTCATAATCTGTTTCCGAACCTGGGCGCGAATCTTGCGTATTTCTTCCTTGGGATCGTATGCTTCCTCGATGGGCTCCGTCCCTGGTATCAGGTTCCTTGCCGTCTTAGCGTGGCCATCTGGGAGTGCTGCTGTCTGTAGTACCTCCCTGGCAGCTCGATGGGCTGCCTCGTTGCCCTGTATTCCAGCGTGTCCGGGTACCCACCGTACGCTGGTTTTCGTGCCGTGTTCCCGGTGTATCCGTAATGCCGATTGGAATATAGCCGCGATTGTGGGGCTCGTCGTCGTGGTGTGGTGTTTGACGAGGCTTCTGGTTGCCTCTTGCGAGTCAGTGTAGATGGTCAGGTGGTTGCGAGTGTGGCTGTTGCTGGTAGCTAGGTTCTCATATGTTTGCAGGGCCAGGAGTATCGCTGCTTCTTCAGTGGCTTGTGGCGATGTGAGTTTCGTGTAGACCTTACGAACCGTAAGTGGGGCGTCTTGTGCTTCGCGAACAAATACCACCGCCGCGGATGCTGCCGTTGCATTGGTAGCTGCGTCCACATAGACAACTTGGTTGTCTTCGTGGTTCAATTGTGACACTTCTGCAAGGTGGAGTCGGGCATGGTGCTCTCTACGTTTTTGATGTTTCTCTGCGTTCATGTTCCTGGGTAGCGGCTTTTGGGCAATGTCTATTAGCTCCCAAGGCGGTTTGGCTCGTGGCATGGGGTTCTTAGCTTGGATTTGAACGCCGAGGTATTTGGCTATTGCTCTGCCTTCTACCGTATGCTCCAGTCTTGCGACTTGCATTTCCCTTTGCTGCCTGAGAGAGTCTTGCAGGCTCGGTAGAAAAACACATTTCCTAAGTTCGTTAAGCCTAGTCGTTCTCGGTAGGCCAAGAATGGCTCTTCGTGCCTCGTTGTATAGGGTGTCAAACTTGTTGAAGTGTTCGCTCCTGAGTTTGTAGAAACGGGCCGCGTACGTGACCTTAGCCATCAGGACTGCGGTCACCAGAGTCTTGGCCGATTTTTCCCCAGCACCGCCAAGTCTGCTTGCGATACGTCGGACAAGCTGCAACCCCTGCCTCCATTTCTTTGTCGATTCTTTGACCCATTCCGTTGCCAACGAGCGTTTGTAGCCAAAGTTTATGCCGAGGATTTTCACAAAGGGCTCGCATTGTAATGCGTTCCCAGCAAAAGTGAGGCCGAGGTCTTTGTTCTCGTGGCCTTTTCCGAAGGTGGTATATTTAGTTTTCTCCGAGGATGGTTGCATGCCCACTCTTTGTAGATACCTGTCTATGGTATCTAGGCCTCTTTGGAGTGTGCGTTTCTGTATATCTTCTGTTCCTATGTGAGTCCAGATTGTGATGTCATCGGCGTAAGCCGTTGCCTTTAGTTGTGGAATCTTGTGCAGCTCCCAGAGCAGCGGTGCCATCACGATGTTGAATAGAGTTGGTGATAGCACCGCTCCCTGGGGGACTCCGATGTTGTTTTCCTTAGTTGGGCCGTCTTGGCTATCTTTTCCATACCCAGCTCTGATTAGGTATCTCCGGTTGTCAAGAAAGGATTTCACAAAGTTGAGTTGCCTCCCCGTGAGTCCAGCTTCTTCCATGGCTTTGATAATGGAGTCGTGGGGTACCGTGTCGAAAGCCTTCTTAATGTCAATCGACACTAGTACCCTGAGGTGAGGGCTGGATTCGTGCAGGCTGGCCACATCTTTGAAGATCATTGCTAGGCTGTCGTGTGTGCCAAGATTCTTCCGGAAGCCGGTTTGTGTCGGGTGGAAGACGTTTAGCCGTTCAGCGTTCCATTGAATTCTTGCAAGGACCATCCTTTCCATGAGTTTTCCCATTATGGAGGTGAGTGAAATGGGTCGTACATTGCCTGGTTTAGTTGGAGGCTTCCCCGGTTTAGGTATAGGGGTTACCCACGAAAGTTTCCACTCATCGGGCAATTTGCCAGTGGTCCAAATCTGGTTGAACCATCCTAATATCGCCTGTTTGATGTTGGTTGGTGCATTGCGAAGCATAGAAGCGGTGACGCCGTCTGGGCCAGGGGCGCTCTTTGTTCTGCTCTGGTGAATTGCTGCATGGAGCTCCCACTCTGTAAGTGGTTGGTCCCAGGATTCTATGCCATCAAATGTCGGTACGTTCTCTGGAGCATAGATCTCTGGGTTGGGCTTGGTGGGTGGTTGGGGAAAAAAAACTTCTCCTAGCTGATCCAGAATTTTGGCGGTGGTTTCATTCGAGATGAGTGCAATGACTGGGACGGGGCTGGGTGCCTTGCGTTTACCGTACATGGAGTTGAAGGTGCGCCACATGTGTCCCAAGGATGTGGTCCTGTCGAACGATTCACAATGTTCCATCCATTTGGAGAGGCAGAGGTGCTGGGCATGTTTTCCGGCTTGTCTGGTGAGCCGGTTTACTCTATTGAGATATATCTTCCGTTTGTTTTTGCGATAACGGTCAAGTGCTGTGTTGCGCTTGTCCCACAAGGATAGGAGGTGCATATCGGGGTTGGGGGTTGCCTCGTTGATCATCCTCGCGTCGACTGCCATCTCTGCCGCGTTGGTGAGAGTGGAGGTAATGTTGGTTGGGGTTAATGGAGACTCGAGTTTCTCGAGAGTTTCTCTATACCTGTCCCAGATTACAGTTCTACTTTGTCTTTGAGTGTTTTTTTTCTTGACGTCGATGTCGAGCTCCACAATTATAGGAAAGTGATCACTGCCCCATGTTTGTTCTAGGATCGACCATTCTGCTTTGTTAGCTGCTATGGTATTCATGAGAGTGATGTCGATGACGCTGTCCTTTTGTTTAGACGTCGTGCCATATCTCGTTGCTTTGCTCGTATCATTGACAATGCTAAGGTCCGTTTGGTCTAGTATTTCAAAGAGGTCTTTTGTTCTGGCGTCAATGGGCTGGTCGTTCCAGGGTTCGATGTGCGTGTTCAAGTCTCCCCCCATAATTATGATGTCCATGGGGTATTCGCGCCGGAGCGTATCAATCCAGGAGAGATCGTACGCCTTTGCAGGTGGTATGTATGCCGACACCAGGAGCAGTCTTTTCGGAGTGCTTTCTAGGGCAACTCTCACTGCAATTATTTCTTGCGTGTCGTTGCACCATCGGTCAGTGTCTATCTTGACGTGGGGCAATTTTCGATCGATGTATATTCCTGCTTGGGCTTGAACTTGATGGCTGCCGGATTCTTCTTTTTGCTTCTTCTTCACTGCCGTATGTTTGATGCTCGGTGTATAGTGTGCTTCTAGTCCAGGGAGTTTTATGTCATCGGTGCGGGTTTCTTGCAGGAGCAAAATGTCAAAGGCGTAATCCTTTATTCGTTGGATAAGTTCTGCTTTCCTTTGGGCTAGACTGCGGCAATTCCACTGTAGTATACGAAGTGGTTTGCCACCTAGTTTGTCCTTAGTGGATCTCTGGTCCATGGTTGTTCTTAAGAATGGAGATCGCAGGTGAGGTAATGGAAACCTTAGTGAAACGCTCTGGAAAGGCGTGGATGATCAATTGCTCGAAGTTATGGAGTCTTTGTTGCATCTCTTGCTGTTGAGCGTGTTGCTGCTGTTGTAGCCGCTGTTCCATTTCTTTTATGTCTTGCTGCAAAGATGCATAGTCTGAGACAAGGGGTTGCTTATGCAAGGGTATTTTTTGCAGGGCCGGCGTTGGCGGCACCGCTGACGGTTGGGCGTTGGTTTCTGGTTGGGGTCTGTTGGTGGAGGCGGTTGGTGCTTTTTGGTTTTGCTGTTCCTTCTGGCAGTTTGCCTTGGCTGCTAAATCCGCTTCTTGTATGCGCTTAAGGAGGATGGCTCGTCGAGCCTCAGTTTGCTTCCTTTCTTCATCATATTTCTTGCGTTGTGTTTCGACCTCAGCCAGTAGTTTCGCAAGGTGCTTGTTATTGGCTCTGTTTCTTTCTTCCATGACTTTAAGTTCTTCCTTCCAGCTGCGGACTTCGAGTTCGCTGCTTGTGTAGAAGCCTTTAGGTGGAGGTGTGATGTGGGCACCGGGTTCCCTCCTTCCGCTGGACACTGATCTTTCCCGCTGTATGGCTTGGGTTCTGGAACGGCTCCTGCCTCGTTGGGGTTTGTCTTGCCTGTGCACCTCTTTTCCTGCGGCGCTCCTGCTTCGGCTTCTGCTGTGAGGCTGTGCGGGCGGGGTAAGAGCGGCGAACCTGTTGGAGGACGAAGTTAGAGGCGGATAGT